GCAGTAAGAGAAGAGCTGTCCTTTCAAAAGCTGTAACTTTAGTTGCTTAATGTCCGATTTATGAGAAAAACCAGGAAGCTGCTGCTCCATATCCCTTTCTCCCTCTTCCTTATAACATCTAAGTAGGCACAATTTGTGGCATGGTGCCATCATGCTGTGCATTGCTCCATTGGTTGGCAACTGGTTTTGCAGCATTGCACAGTCCATATGACATCACAGCACACATTTTATTTACCTAGATCAGGGGTGGGGAAACCCTTTTCAGTCTGAGGGCTGCATTTCCTTCTGTGAAACCTCGTGGGGGCAGCATATCAATAGGCAGAGCAAATCGTGCAATTTTTACCCTTTCTACAGTAGGCTAGTTCATCCACACAGTCATGCATCCCTCTGTCCTTTATCTAGGCAAGTAAATGGCATCATCAGAATTCAAGAACACCAGGCAAAAGCACTCAAGGGGTGCATGAAATTGGGCTGGGAAAGGAATGTTGCCAGATAGAGAGACTTGGAGAGCTGCATTCCCCCCCCCCCCGCCCCAGCAACCAGACCCAGATGTTTCAAGCAAGAGGGGGCAGGAGACACAGGGCAGCAGCAGCAGCTCTGTGCTTCTCACAAGGACTTTCAGCCCTTAATTCTTGCTCTCGAAGTTGGCTAGGGGACACTATACCTAGAAAGAAAAAGAAACACAGTAATTATATAAACATAAAGTGGTACTCTGCTGTCACTTGCCTGATACTCAAAGAGCATGTATATTCTGGCTGGCAGATCAAAACCTGCCTATCTTGCTTCTAGATAAGGGATCATTGGGAGAGGGGTATTACCCCCTTCACTTCCACACAACTACTAACAGTGCACTTCTGCATGTGACAGCTGCATTGGGTTCAATGTGACTTACTCCTGGTTGAGTGTGTATAGTCTTCCCCTTAGTAGACACCCTGCTATATTTTCTCCAGGCATTGATGGCATATATGTGGTAGGTGTCAGCTGCTCTCCTTCACATGTGGCAGAAATGCAGCATTCACTGGAGAAACTGCAGTTGTCTGTACATGATACGTTTATTAGAACTATGTTATTTTAGATGGGTGCATTTATCACAGCAGACAGGAAGACAATGAGTTATGAACAATGGTTCCCAATGCTGATCTGTTCCGTTGTTTGCCATTTTCTTTGACTGTATACACCCAAATGCTGCCTCCTTGGTCTGACACGAGCAGTGTGTTGGAACCTGCCAAATAAGATACAAAACTTTTTTTAAAAAAGTGTTCCCTGTAAAAACATTGATTCTGTTGCAGTGGGTCAGATCTGCATGAACTGTACAGAACTTAGAATTTTACCATGTAAGGCTTTTTCTAGCCATGGGTGTTTCAATGTGGGCTTTCTGTGGGCATATGATGATACATGTTCCCAAACTACCAGAATAAATTGTGTAGATGTGTGTGCCAGTGAGAAGAATCTCTTCTATTAAAGGTATGTGCAGATCCAGCCTTACTGTGACAACAGGATGTTTTTGCATTTAGGGCACAACTGTACATAATTGCCCATCACTCCTAACGCAGGATGCTTGAAAAGACAAGGCAGGACTTCCGGGGTGGCGCCATCGGTAATGGCGGACTCACTCTGAATTGGAGGGACTAGCTCCGCGCGAAACGGGTCTTCTCCGCTACGGCGAAGCGGGGACCCTTTTAAAAATCACAGGCGGATGAAGCCTGTGACCATGGGACTCGGCGGGCACCCTTAGCGCCCCCCCCAACCCGCAAAGGAACCCACTAAAAGCTCTGAAGCGAAGAGGGGGAAGTGACGCGGTGCTGTGAGTCAACTGCTATTTCCGTGGAGTGAAGCCGCACAGCTGTTGCCGGAGAGCGCTGCCTTTTTCCTGGGACAAATTGGCTTCTAAAATAAGCACCCGTGAGTACTCAAACTTTGAACAATTGGACTTTAAATAAGGACTTGCGAGCAGAAAGGAATTGGACTTAAAATTTTTATTTCAATTTGGTACTGAAACGGGAAGGTCTAAACAGGAAGTCAGCCTTCCGTTTCTTTGTAGACAGAATAAAGCAAAGACAACGTAAACTAGAGCTCAGAAAATCGCCTCTAAAGGATTGGCTTTCATCATTTAAAATTGTTGAACCCCCCTTCGGCAGCAGGAGAAGAAGGGGATCTCTTCTGAACGGTAGAAACCTGCAGAAGTGAGTTTAAAGTAAAGTAACTTTCCACCGTCCTGATCCTGGAGCGGGGTGTCAGGACTGACGTTTGAAGCTCATCGACCAGAAATAAGCGCTTTTGACAGATAGCTAAAAGAAGAGGAACATAGTGATTCCATTGTTTCCTTTCGCACCTTAAAGGAACAAATATTGACAAAATTACTGAAAAAAGGAAACTCTGTTGCTAGGCTTGTCTTTAAAAGAAAGATTAAACAGAAGTCTTCCCCCTAGAGGGAGACTGTGAAACTGTAACCAACTCCTGGGAGCCGGCATCTGTTACAGATTACAATCGTGGGAATAGACATATGACCTTCAGGACAATGCATTCAGAAGCTCTGTTGTGTGCTTTCTATAAAACAAATGCCCTACTGGAACAGTTACATGAGAAGACAAATTTGATGGCTGACTCGATTAGAAATTTTGAACAGGCAGTGGGAAAATATGTGGAGCCCACCCAGGAATTAAATCACGAGTGTGTCTTGACAGAACAGGCCCTACAGGAATATGAGCTTTCGGATTTGACAAATGAACTTGGAAAAAGCCAGATTTGGAAAGAAAAAGTTTGGTTTGGTTTGGAAATGGGGGGTTGGATAGACCCTCCTATGAAATTGGACTTTTCAAGTCTGGCAATGGGCCGTGAGATGTTTGGGATTGTGGGGGCTCTTAATTTTGGAGGGATTCTGAAACATGTTTTTAAATACCACATGGAATTTAGTGTCGATTATGGAAAAGGGGCTGATCTGTCGAGAAGGGTCAAAAATACTGCTAAATTGGAGCTCCCACGAGTGAAAGGAGCAGGAGACAAAGGAAAATACAGCTATAAATATGAAGAAGAGCTGCAGAAGGGACATGGAAGGAACTTAAGGGCCTCGGATATAAGATTACCAGGTTAATGCGCCAGATTGATGGGATAATAAGGACTGACAAAACCCGGGACCAGGAGGAAGGGACGCTGGATGAAGATTGGATTTGTTTTTATTTCTTTTTTTCACTACTAGGACTGTTTTTATAAAATTGATGAATGTTAGAAAAATGTTGGAATGAAATTACTTGGCTTTAGTAAAAATGTTTAAAGAATTATGCAAGAATATCATGGTTATGAGAAGTTGGTAAAAATAAGATTTAAGTTTTAAGTCTCAAGGTTTTTTTTTATAGTAAGATAAGATTAAAATAGTTTAAGGTAATGTAACGACAGAATATTATGAAATATGGAAAATGAATGTTAGAATGATGTTGGATAGAAATTAAATGGTTTTTAGCTGAAATATTATAAGGGAATATGAAAAATGGATTACTAACAGGTAAAAATTTAATGTTACAATAATTTAAGATTAAAGATTAGGATAATTAAAGAGGGGAAGGATTTGCTGAACCAACAAACTGAACTGGAATACAAAAAAGGGAGGCGTGAGGAGGTCCGGGAAACAAGCTAATGAAAAATAAGTAATGGAAAGATTGACTTGTTTTTAACTATTTTTATTTTGTATTTTTCTTTTTTCTATTTTTCTTTTGTAATATTTTGAAAACTTTAATAAATATCTTTTTTTAAAAAAGAAAAGACAAGGCAGAAGGCAAAATCAACCTCACTCCCTACTTTACAGGTTTGTGTCGGCAACCTGTGTTTCGAAGATGGCCTTCTGCTATCATGTGTAGTTCTGTCCTAAAATCTTCCACTTGTGCCTATAAAAGCCTGCTTTGCATGTTTTGATTGCTATGAAAAGCAACTGTATTTTTTTTATTTTTTTGCAGCCAACGGATAGGGTGATATCAAATACGTTTACCACTTAGAGTAGACCCACTGAAATTAATTGACATGATTAACAATTCCATCAATTTCAGTGGGCTTAAGTCTTGAGTAGGACTAGCACTGGGTCTTACCTACTAAGTGTGGGTCTAATACACAGAAGTAACAGTTGATTCAGGTGCCCTGGTCAAATCAGGGTTTCCAGGCACATGCTTTAGGACAAATATTACATATTCACTTTACATGCTTGCTGCAAAAAGAACTCCACCCCAAAACAAAACTCTGGTGTCTCACCTGAGGGTTTTTTTTAACAGTAACTGTAATATGTACATCTGCCAGAAGCCTATAATTTTCACTCCTTTGGGATGTTCATTCTTTGGCCCCTTAAACAACTCCTTCAAAATGAAGCAAGGCAGGTTTGTGTGCCTCTAATATGCGGAGGGAACCACTTGAGGCCCACGCCAGGGACTTTTCAAAGCGATAGTTACAAAGACCTGAATGCAGGTGCTTTATCCTTCAACAGGCAGAAAGACTTTGCACAGAGTGTGAACTCACAATGGAATTATGTGCTGCAGGAGCTTTTTGAGGAGAAAAGTGAACTCTGGATTTTAAAATGAGGAGAGGGAAGGGCTGGGTAATATGAGCCTGGCTGACATGTGTAGCCACACAAGTAAAGATAAGTATTTGCTTAATCAAATGCCATGCCCCAGGGCACAGGCTGATGGCGTGGGCAGGGTTTGTCAACACCATGCATTGTGTTCAGTGCCCAACCAGGCGCATGCTCTGAGCAAAGGGAAGTTAGGTTGGAAGCACTGGGCAAAGGTGGGGAAAACACAGAACTCACACCCTGTTCTCTTGAGGTGAATTCTAGGTTATTGGTATGCTGCCCATCCTCATTAGGAAGCTCAGCATGATTTAGTAAAATGGCATGGGTGGATAGTAGCGAAGGCTGCTGTTCTGTGGCATGAACAGTTTCTGGTACTTCGGCAGTTTACTCCCACGATAAATCTGCATTGCTACAGCATCATTTTACACATGCAGAATAGATGAAGCTTTGGGGAAGGGCTGTTGCTCGGTAGTAGAGCGTGTGCTTTGTATGCAAAAGATCCCAGATTCAATCCCTGCCACCTCCGGGTTGGGGTGGGGAAAGGCTGTTTGAAACCCTGGAAAGCGACTGTCAGCCAATGTTGACGATACTTAGCTAGATGGGCTAATTGCCTGATGTGGTATAAAGCAGATTCCTATGCTGGCAGCTGATAGAGGAACCCCATAATTAGGACCCAGCATCTTTCCTTTGGGGATCTGAGTAGAAGACATTTTGTACTTCTTCACATGTTGGTAGTCTTTGGGGGAAGGTGGTGGTTGTTTTTGCTCCAGCACTTCAGATCAACTCTAAGTGTGCAAACTGCATTTCCCAGTATGTGGTTCAATCCTATCAGAAAAGAGCTGCAGTCTGGAAGTTCCAGAAGCCTTGCATGTTATACCTGGATGTTGCTGCTGCTCCATAAAATCTCTACTCCTAATCTACCTGCAGAAAAGTGGGCACAGATTTACCGTATTTTTCGCTCTATAACACGCACCCAACCATAACACGCACATAGTTTTTAGAGGAGGAAAATCCGTAGGCATGCCACCCATAGGCATTCCCTCCATAACACTCACAGACATTTCCCCTTACTTTCTAGGAGGAAAAAAGTGAGTGTTATGGTGCAAAAAATACGGTATTTCTTTTTTTAAAAAAAGAGAATCTGGGGCAAAGAGAAACAAGCAAGAAACTCCATAGTCTCCCAGTTCAGTAGCAGATAGAGAATCTCCAGACTGCAGCCTCGCAAACCTACCAGGTGGACAGGCTTTTTTCTTCAGAGAGCAGAAATTTTCACAGTGCTACTTTGAAGTGTGAAGGCAAAACCTTATGTGGGATCATCCAAAAGCTCATTTTAGGTGAGCGTAGCACATGCTGTGTGTGAACCCTGCTGTGGTAAGAGGACACAGCATGGCAGTTTTAGTGTGTGAAAATCTCACTGCAAAAAAGGGTATTTTGGGATAAGCAAGGGCACCTCCTTGTGGGTCACCAGCCCAAATAGGGAAAAAACAAAACAGAGTTCTCCTCCAGAAACTGACACTGTTGCTCTTCTTCTCCCTGTGTCTGTGATTTCCAGCCACTTGCTAATAGGCCAGCTACCTCTTAGCCTTTCCAGCTGAACCAGGTGGCATGAAAGGGAACTGGCCTCACCATGGATTCCCTTCCTCCTTTTCTTCATGTACCCTTTGCAGGACATATAAAGCAAGGCTGAGGTGTTTTGTTTTTTCTTTGGGTAAATGGACAACTTTTGTCTTGGGCTTCATCCCATGTCCTGTCCAAAATACTGAAGTCCATCCACAGGCTCAGTAAAACCATGTGAGCTCCACCTTTGGCTCCAATCCTGGGGCTCTACACCCCATGTCCCATCTACCACACCCAAATGGTTCATTTCAAGAGTTAGTAACCAAACTACCTCTGCACCACAGATATCTGGATGGTTATCTCACATCCCATCCCAGTTGCAGTAGGTAAGAGTAGACAGCATCTCCTGTTCTTTCAGCTCAGTGGCCCTTGAGAGATGTTAATGAACTCCTATCAGTATTGACCATGCTGACTGAGGTTGGTGGGAGATGGGAGGCCGAGATGGGAGTCCAACAACATTGGGAAGGCTAAAGGTTCTCCATCTTTGCTTTAACAGATGACTGCACCTTCTGGTTATATAGCAGTGGATTTGTTCAGCTTTTGCTTTCCTGCATTTTTAATAGGATGTGTGTATTCATTGGTGTGGGGGGGTATATATGCATACAGTGTGAGTACACACACACAGGCACATATATTGAACAAGAGTAGAAATTCTCTGCAGAAACCCAGCTGGCATGATTGACAGCTCAGTTCTAACCATGTATACTCAAATGTTTTATTGGAATCAGTGGGGCTTCTGCCCAGGGAAGTGGGACTAGGATTGCAGCCTTGTACAAAATCTTGGTAGCTTTGCAGCTAAAACATCATTAGCTTTTTACCTTGAAAATGGGATTTGTCAATGTCAAATGTGCACTTAAGGAAATGTCCTCTCTTTTTTATGGGTTGTCAGTAAGAGAAGTTAAAAGTATGTCGCTTCGAAGTGGCTTTTTGAAATGGAAAAAAGTGTTATTTTGACATGTGCAAACATGCCATTCCCTCAATAATACCAACTTTATTCATATCAACATTTCAGGCTTGGAAATGTATTGTTCCTTTTGACATCTCTCCCACCTCCCATGTAGTACTGAAACGAATTTGGAGGTGGCCAAGTTCCAGGGAGCTTGGATGCTTGTCTCCTGGTCATCTCGAAATATATTTCTCTTCCTTTCAGCCTTCATAGTAACATAAGATCGTAAGTAATTACCCATAGATAAATTAGGATAGGAGGTGGTAACTCAACCAAGGCTTTCCAGTGAGCAACAGTGATTTGACATCTAAACCCAATGCTCTGCACAGCAAGCACTCATCCTGATGGGTCAATTAGATAAGGTGCTGCCTTATATAGAGTCAGGTCTCCGATATGTTTAACATCATTCTTCTCAGAGAACCACTTCCACATTTGCCTTTCTAGAGATAGGGGAAATCTCTTAGCCCCTCCTCCCCAAAAAAGCCGATACATGGTTTGGCAAAGTAAGTTATTTTCCTAACAAATAGGGCAGGGCTTGCCAACGTTTGTGGTCTCATGGGTACATTTGTAAACTGGTAATTCTGTCATGAGCAACAAGCACACACACCACAACCTATTCTACTGGTTACAACAGAATGCTTCTTTCAAACCTAATTTTGGCAGGGGAGGAGATGGGCATCACATTGGTGACCTCTGCTATATTAGATTACCCAAATGAACAGTAATCTAACAGTTTAGCAACAACCCTGACTTTAAGAGACTGGGGACTAGATCAATATGGGAGTATTAATTATGGAATACCAAAATGTATGTTTGAAGTGTTTAGCTATTGCTATTATTGTTATTGTTGTTAATGAAATGTCTATACTGCCCTTCATTTGACGATCACAGGGAAGTCTACAACATAAAAACACAAAAATACACACCATAACAACAAAAACAACAACACCCTGAAGATCACCTGTAGTTCTGAGAGACTATTTTTGGTTAGCACTCCATTGGTAGTGAAAGCAGAATTTGTTGTTCCAGCAAGAAAGACAACATGGTGCAGTGATGGATTTACCCTATTTATTTCAAGCCTAGTAAGGACAACAACTACTGCTGCTATTTTTGTTATTATCATTATTTCAAATTGTATGCTGCTTTTCCACAAAAATGTGCCCCAGAGCACTACAGCAGAAATCCACATGCATGGGCACTGGGCACCAATAAGTTTGCAGCAGGGTCAGATCCTTCCTCCACTTTCTCATGAGCTGTAATCACCACCACTCTATCCTTCCCATCCACTTATCTGGAGTCTGCTATGGTGGCAGCTAGCAAGATGGAGATATTTATCCTCTACTCCAGTGTTCCCCAACCTTGGGCCTCCAGCTGTTTTTGGACTACAACTCCCATCATCCCTCACTAGCAAGACCAGTGGTCAAGGATGATGGGAATTGTAGTCCAAAAACAGCTGGAGGCCCAAGGTTGGGGAACACTGCTCTACTCCTTCCTCTCGGGCTGTGTTAGGCCAACAGCTCTGGCAGTTGCAATTTTCTCCATCCCCTTCCAATATCAGCAGCCCTTGGAAAGCAGCATTTCACAGAGTGGCTGGCATATGGGTCATTGCTCTAGCTGCACTCCAGGTGCGGGAAGAGGGAATGAAGGAAAGAGCTCCTTCCTGCCCACCAGAACAGCCAGTTAAAGAGATAAGGGGGTCTGGAGGCTGGGTGTTTGGGAGGGGCAGGAGGAAAGAGTTGAGTTGTTATTTGTCTTGGATTAAATTCAATACAGAGAAGAACTCGGGGAGTTGCAATGTAACACTCACCTTCATTAATGCTCACCTTCTGTTTAAGGTGAGCGTTTCAGATCACCAGGGTTCATATTCTGAGCCAAGGAAATGTAAACTTCAGCACGATCTGTGTGTTTGTCTTCCAAGGAATCTCTGCTTATAAAACCCTGTGTGGTTCCAAGGCATGTTTTAGAGGGCACAACCTCAATTTATGTGGGGGCTGAGCAGGCCTTTGCCCCTCATTCTCACCTCATCTGGGCTGTCAGTGTGCTAAAAGGCATCCAACACTAGCTGCATGTTGGAGGGAAAGATCTGTGGCGGTGAACAAGTTGTCTTTCAGGGAAGTGTGTCTACTGTTGTTGTCCTTCACGTTGAAGTTTATGGTTCTGTAAACCTCTTGCCCTCTCTCTGACCTCCAATACCGTTTAGCAGGAGATACATAGAGACATAGAAGACTGCTTTATACTGAGACAGACCATCAGTCTGTCTAGTTCTGTACTGTCTACACTGACTGGCAGTGGCTTTCCAGGGTTCCAGGCATGGAGTCTCACCCAGTCCTACCTGGAGATGCTGCAGTTTGAAATGGAGACCTTCTGCTTGGAAAGCAGATTCTCTGCCCCTGATCTGCAGCTCTTCCCTGAAAGGCAGAGATTGCAAAGTATATCTTACACAGTAAGAACTGTGCTGTACTGTTGAATATCTGTGGCTGTCGCCTAGCTCTAGTCTGATGTCCTCTAGCTTGCTACATCCTAGTTCACATCAGATATTCATGAAATCCCCAAAAGAGGCATGTTGGTACCTTGATGTATTTTTCTCCCTCTCTCTGAAAAGATCAAGCCTTGCTGTCCTGTACCAAGTCAGACCACTGGTGTATCTAGTTCAGTAGTAGCGGTACTGTTATCTGGACATTATACTTCTGTTGATGCAGCCTAGAATAGCGTTAGCTTTTTTTGGTGATGCATCACACTGTTAATTCCTGTTCAGCATTTGGTCTACTAAAAGCTTGTTTTTCAAGATCCTTTGTCAACTGTGAGACCTGCTGTGCTGACTGTACTGTCCCTGGGATGGAACCTTAGTGCTGGGCACTGATCAACGATACGAGTCATTTGGAGAGATGTTGCTGGCTTGGCACAGACACCAGCGCATTAATCTATGGCCTTATGTGCAGCTACGTCTGCCATCTCGTTAAGCC